GACTTTAAAAATAATTAAATTTTTTATAAAAAAAAAGGATATAAAAAATGGGAAATTTTTTTGGGTTGTAATAAAAATTAAAATCCCTCGAAATTTTAAATTTAAAAGAATTTAAAAGGAAGGAAGGGGCCAAAATCCCGGATTTTTAATTCTATCAAATGAATTTTTCCCTCCAAAACCCAGGGGGTAAAAAAAAATCCAACTTTTTTTTTTTCAATCATTTTTATTTTTTTTGCCAAATTTTTTTTTTTGATATGGTCAAATATTTTTTTTTTTTTTTTACGAGATTTTAATAAATTGTTTAAATTTGGTTAAATCCCCAAATAGCGCCTTTTTGATTTTAGTTTTTGGGTATGCATATAAAAGTTATTTTAAATTTTAAAATCATTTTCCCCCTTTTTTTTAAATGTGAGGGGTGGAAATAAAAATTTTTTTTTTGAAAAAAAAAGATTTTTTTTTTGTGTTGAGTTGTTATTAATGTACAAAAATAATTATCAATATAATCAAAAGAAAATATGTAATTATAATCAAAAAAAAAAAAATCGTACAATTTTTTAATTTGGATAATTTACAAAAAAAATATAAAAAAATATAAAAAAATATAAGAAAGTTTTAATAAAAAAAAAAATAAAAAGATATTATTTAAGAATGTTTTTAACTCATAATATCGAAATACAAATTATGGATAAAGCCAAAGATAATGATTTTCTTTATGATTAAACTAAATATGAATATTCAAAATTTTTTTTAAATAAAATTAAAAAAAATGTAATTAAAAAAAAAAACTGTTAAATTACAAAAAAAAAAAAAATTGATATTTTTGAAATGAAAAAATGAAAAATTTTGAATATATATGTTAATATGGGGTAGTTTTTAAATCATAGACTATATGGTTTTTTATAAAAAAAAAAAAGATATTTTTTGTTATCATAAATACCTTTTTACAAAAAGAAAAATCATAATTTGCAAAAATTAAAAAAATTTAATCAAATTTAAAAAAAAAAATTGATTTTACAAATAACTTGTTTTTTTCATTGAAATCTATGCAAAAATATTTCCCATGAGATTATTTTTACATATAAAAAAAATTAATTAACTAATTAAATTACCTTTGAAACTAAATTTTTAAAAAAATATTATTAGTCTCCTGTTTTATTAAGTGAAAAACAACAACAAGAAAACTGTAATTTTTCTTTCAAATTATCTTTAAATTTACATAAAAGAAAAAGGTAAAAATTGAATTATAAATACAGTTAGTGTAATAAATAATAATAAAAATAATCATTAAATTAAATCAGAAAAAAAAAATTAATAAATAAATAATCTTCACAAAAATTTGTGCTATTTTTTTTTTCAATTATATTATTATATATTTCTATAGAAATGTAATATTAATTAATATAATTGTTTATTATTTTAAATATTTTTTTTTGTTATTAAATCACCATCATATTATTAAACAAAAAGGATTATTTAAAGTGATGGTTATTATACAACAAATTAAAATTAAAATAAATAAAAATTAAATTATAAAAAAAAAATAAAAAGAAATTTCTCAACATGACTTTTATATAAAATAAATAAATAATCAAATAAATAAATTAAATAAATAAATAAATTTAATTTTTTTTTTTTTTTTTCAAAATTTAATTTAAACTAAAATTTTTTTTTGTTTTAATTAAACAGTTGGCATCATCATATTTTTTTGAATGATTCAGATTGCAATGGTTTATAAAATTGGTAATTTTCATTTTTATTTAATTAAAAAAAAATAAAAATTTATTAATTCATTTCCCAAACATATTAGCCACTTTTTATAATAATAATAAAAAAGTGTGTGGTGGGGTTATAATTTAATTTTTTTTTATTTTTTTTATATTTTTTTAATTAAATTATTTTTTTATTTGGGTGATGTGTTAAAAAATAAATTGATGATCACTACTTTTATGATAGCTACAGATTAAAAATTTAATAGAATGTACAAAAAAGGGAATACCGAGTTTGGATCTAATCTATTATATTTACAAAAGGAAATTATTATAATTTTTATTATTATTAATTAAAATTTTTTTTTTATTATTTTTTCAAAATAAATTTTATTGCTCTGTATAAATTAATTTTTTTTTTTAAATTCAAGCTATCAATCAAAAGTAATTAGTAATCGGTTCAGCTTAATTTTTCTTTGTTAAATATTATATTATCATATTATTATATATATTTTTTTTTTTGTAAATATTTTTATATATATTTTTTTATTTTATATTTAATTTATTTTTACCCTTATAATTTTACATCCATGGGTAATATTTTTTCAAAAAGAGTAGGTATCTCTTATATAACATACATTATAAACAAAATAAATATTAATTATTGTTTTATTTATATTCAGAGCAACCTTTTTGAAAAAAAGTAATGGCTATGGAAACCAATATTGCTAAATTGGAGAACAAAATTAATAGCACAAAAAAATTCCATTATAACATTTATAAGAAAATTTTTTTCTTTTTTTTTATAATCGAATTCATATTATCATTTTTTTTACATAACGAAATTCTTTCATCCAGCACTTTGTATGAAAAGTCAGAGTGTTTTGCATTTATTTTATTATTTTCAATAATGTAGGTAGTTCATTTTTAATATATATAAATATTTATTTTTGTTTATTATATTAACATTTATATTTTCATTTTAGAATCTCAATTTTAGCAAATTTATATAGATTATTATTTGAAAAAATAATAAAATATAATGAAAAAAAATTAAATGATTTATATATTGGTCTCGATAAATTATTTGATGAAAGAAAAAAAGAAACAAATTACGAGAATACAAAAAAACTTTTAGAACAATATGAAAGTTTTAAAAATAGTAGGTATCAAATAGTATTCATTATTTAAATATTATATCTGTAGTTATGTAGTGTCTAACTATTTTTTTTAGATATTAACAATATAGACCAAGAGGACCAACATCAACAACCACCATTCATTTATTTTATTATAATAAAATTGTGGTTAAAAAAATGTATTATTATTTAGTTTCCGGCACAAATTTACTATATTTTGAAAATTGTGGAAACTGTATAGGAAAAATGCCTAGTGAATTCGCCCCAAATAGTAAGTTTTATTTACTTTAATAATTACTTTTTAATTTTTGCTTTATAACTAATACTAATTTTTTTTTAATAGAATTCCGTTGTATTATATGCCGATTTATTAACTATACAAGAGACACTGGCAGAAAAAAAAAAATAAAAAAAAAAGATAAAAAAAAATAATAATATATAGGAATTATAATTATAAAAAATAAAAATTATAATTATAATTCTTTTAATATATAAATATCAATAGAAATAATAATAGATAATATAAATATTAGATTATGTTCCCTAGAAATTAAAAAAGAAATAGACTTTAAAGAATTTATCTTATCTGTTCGAAATCCACGGAGGTAAAGATCCAATCAGCGTACTAAAGACCTCTCAATTAAATCAACACCAATGAATTTTTACTTTCTAATCAACTATTTGATGAATATCAGAAATTGTTCTGGCCAAGCAACTATGGTATCATCGAATGGTTTTAGATCAAGAAAAGATTTAGTGGTTCATTAGAAGAAAAGATTTAGTAGTTCCTATCAGGCAGCATTCAAAAAATTTAAATCAACTTTACACAAGCTCTAATCTCAGTAAATCCGTTATGTGCGTTCAATAGATAGTTTTCTCTGACCACCCAGATTTCATTATTTTAAGAGCTGCTGCTTTTATTTTATTTTTATTTAAATTGTTTTAATCAATAAAAATAAAGAAAAGATAAATTCTTTTTATAAAGTTTTTTCAATACTAAAACCTAAATGTAATGTAGTTATTATTTTTATAACTATTTATTATGATTACTTTTATTATAATATTATTTGTTGCTATTCTTCTATTATTACCATTATTTCTATAACTATTAAGTAATCTAATCAAATACCTTTTAATGATAAAAAATTCCGATTCACCTATTTTTTCATTATTTTAACAAATATTGGTAATATCTAATATTGTTAATAACAATAATAATAACAAAATCAAATGTAATAATATTGAAATTTTAATTTCTTTTATAAAAGTGTGGGTTCATTCACCCTACATTTCTAAATTTACTATGATTAAATATACTATAAATATTATTAAATGATTACCAAGGTAAAGTTTTTTTTTTTTGAAAAATAAAATATCTAATTTAAAAAAAAAAAAAAAATTTTTTATTAATAAAAATTAAAAAAAAAGAAAAAGTTGTATTTTTTAAATAATAAGGATTTAAACTTTATTTAAATTTTTTTAAATTAAATAGTTAGGTGGCGCATAGTTTTACAAATAAATAAATATGAAAAAACAATTTTTTTTTTAAAGATTAATTAGAAATGGAACCTGTGGTACATTCGTTGTTAATACATGGGAAACCATTACAGTTTTTAGCATAATAGTCGCAAGTGTTACTGGTTAAATCGCAAGTAAAGGTTTCACATCCATTGTTTCTGTTACAGTCGCTGTTTTTGGTACATGGAACTTTAATTGAACATTCGATTGGTTCGTGATAACAACCATAAATAATGTGACAATAATCAGCAGTACATGGATTGTTATCGTCGCATGATAATGGAGTATTGGAACAACCGTTGATTGGATCGCATGAATCTACAGTACAGGCATTGAAATCTTGACATGGGTTGGAGTATGATTCGTGGTAACAAATATTATTTCCATCGCAGAAATCATTAGTACATTTGTTATTATCATTACAATTGTTTTTGCATACGACAGCTGGATCACAAGCATTTGGAACAGCGTAGCAACCATAACCTGGGTGACAGAAATCATCTGTACATGGGTTTCCATCATCACATTTGAGTGGTGTAATTGTACAGTTACCAGTAGCAGCATTACAAGAAGCAACATTACACATATCAGTTACACATTTATCAGTAGAAGTACATCCATAATATGAAGTGCAGCTGTAGGTTTTACATTTATCAGTACCTTGACAATTTAGTTTTTTACAGTTGTAGGTAGCTTGTGTACAAGAAATAAGAAAAGCAATAATAACAAATGATAAAATTAATTTATTCATTTTTAATTTTCGTAATTTTAAATATTAAAAAAAGTAGTAATAAAAGATAAAATGTATTTATTTTATAATTATTTAATTAAATGTTTTGGATTGAATGAAAAATAAAAAATTTTAATCTTTTATTTATATTATTTTTTTTTACCCTTTTTTTTTTTTTTTTTTTTTTTATTAAAAATAGGTTTTCCTTTTATATTATAATGAGGGAAAAAAAAAAAACTTTGTTCGAATTTTATTTTGGGTTAAAAAGTGTAGTTATAGTTCAAAAATTTTAAAATAAAATCATTAAATTTAATATTTATGATTAAAAAAAATTTTATCGGTGATTTTTAGGATTGTGTGGAATGAAAACCCAATATATAAAATTCAGAATTTATCTCGAATATACTAGGCCATACATAAAAAGGTGGTTTTTCAAAATTAAAAGAACATCTAAATTGAATTGGCAAAAATGGAAAAGAAATTAAAAAAAATAAATAATAAAAATAATACTTTAAAATAATATTAACCCCACGGTTTAAAATAAATTTTTCAACAACACCACACAAAAATTTAAATATAGATTCATTTAAATGTGTATTTTTTTTTGAAAAGTTGTGCAATATATAAGTGATTATTTGAAAAAATAATAAAAAAAAAAATTTATTTTAAGATTTTTTTTAGATAATCTGGTTTTAAAGATTTTTTTTTTTCTGTATTATTTTATATTTTATATATGTAATTTTTGAATTTTGTTATTATAATAAAAGAATCATATAATTTATTGATTGAGCACAATTTACAAATACTGATTGGTATAACCAATCAAAAGTTTAGTTTTAAACCATGATATTTTTTTTTCAATCATTACCCAAAATTATATATATATAAAATATCCACTACCCAGTTCTTTTTCAAAAAAAAGTGCAATGTTGCAATTTTTTGATTATATTTTTTAATAATATTGATAAAAAAAAAAAATAATTATAATAATAATTACTAATTTAAGATTGTAAATCATGCACCAATCATTTCTTTAAAACATAGAACATCCCTAAATCAGAAAAAGTAATTTAAAAAAAGGGTCGAATTACTAATGTTAAAGAAATAAAATTTATGATTTCTTTTTTCCAACTTTAACAAAAAAAAAGGTGATTCACAAAAAAAAAACATTTGTTATATTTTAAAAAACCAAAAAGTATTTATATTTTTAAAATGTGTGAAATTTAATCACTATATTTTTAAATGCTTTATAAAAACATTTTAAATTAAAAAGCATGATTAATTTTTCTTTGTTGTACAATTCAAAAAAAAATCACATTTTAATTTTAAAATTCACCCACACTAGCCACACCCTAAAACACAACCCCGCGTAATTCCTTTTTTGAAGTGGTTTCTCTTTTTTTTTTTTTTTTTAAGTTGGGTGTGTGGTATTATGGTTTTTAAATTTTAAAAAAAAAATGTGGGTTTTTGAAAAAGTTATTTTTAGTATTATTATAATAAGACTAGATGATCTTGATTAATTAATTTAATCTAAATTTAAAGCCATTTCATTAAATGTATTATTAAAAAAAAAAATTTTAAAATTGGTTATTATAACCTAATGATGGTATAAAACAAATGTAAAAATGAATTATTATAAATGTTATTTTTTGTGTATGTATTTTAAAAAGAAATTATTTCTTTTTTTTTAAATATTATAAAAAAAAAAAAATTTTGACTTTTATTTATAATTTGATTTGTTTAACTTTTTGATCCTTTGGTTTATAATCATTTAAAATTTCTTTATCAATAGACCAATGTGGGTTGAGGTGTTTTGGTTGAGCAGTTTCAATAAAATTTTTTCTCCATGTACGTACAAAATCGAAAATACCTTTTTCACCTAATTCTAAAACTTTTTCCATCACTTTCTTTTCATGTGGAACATATTGATCGTTTCTTTGTTTTGGATTTGTTGAAACTAATGAATCCAAATCTTCAGTTGTGTATTCTTCTTTGTTTAAATAGTCTAAAATTTCTTTTTTCATTTCTTGTAATTTAGAATCTGGAATTTGACCTTTACCATTTTTACCTTCAATCTGTTTTTTTAAAACCAATGCTGCTTTGCTAGCTTTGACCAATGGTGAATTGGTGATATAGACCTTGTGATCATTTTCTAAGGGTACACCGTATTGCTTTGCAATCATCATTCTCATGATATGAGATCTCTTTTCCATGGTGGCGTGACAATCACAGCATAATAGTAATACATCGTGTGATGAATGACTCTTAATTTCCTCTGGTAAATATTGTCTATAACAATGTGGTACTACTGAATGACGTAATATCTTATAGGTGGATCCACAGACTACACAATGGTTTTCTTTATGAGCCAAATAATAAAAATCACCTGAATGACCCTCTCCATTTGGTTTGAAACGTAATTTGATTTTGATTTGTTCGGAATCACCACTAACAATATCTGCTAAACCTCTGCTGACATACCATTGAACCTTCTTTTTACTGATAGAACAAAGCAAAACATCTTCTGGGCTATACATTAAACAGTTATCATAAAGAACTCTATTATCTGGTACCATACGTCTAAAGATAGAGCTATCTTTTACTCTTGGACCGTTTTCACTTGTTGATGCACCATTTGTTGATTTTGATTTTACTTTAACTTTAAATTGAGTATTAATAAATGGTCTGCATAGTGTGAAAACTAAATCTGGTTCGTTTGGATCAATCTTTGAACTCTTATAGGTATAATACATTGTTTCAAAAATTTCTCTACCAATCCATGCATCAATAGCGGCATACATTACTTGTTCTGATGTTAAATTTTTATTTTCCCAATGACTGCAACGAATTAAATTATTTTTATCAATATTTGCATTTAAAACATTTAATGCTAAACTTGCTAAACCATTACCCTAAAAATTGAAAAAAAATAATATTAATAAATTATTTATTTTATAAACCAATCACATCATAATACTATATGATAATTACTTGATAATTTGTTAATCTACCAATTGGTACCAAATCAACACAACCCTTGGTAACAATTGAAAATGATGAAAAAATTGTGGCAGCATCTTGCGAAATAGCAACACCAACTTTAATTAATCTGGGATCAACTAAAATTTGCTCTAAAGATTGTGGTATAGTTGGCATTTGTGAAATTTGAATAAGATAAACATCGGTTTTGCTTGATAATTGAATTAATGCAACTTTGTGTGGGTAACCTTCACATTCTTGATATTGATTTTGATTACTCCATTCAGCATCAAAACCAATAATAAAATCTAAACCTTCATTGTTTTCTTTTGTACAATTTGGAAACAATAATGCATCATTTGATGATAACGATGATTCTGTGGTATTTGCTAAAACATCTGCACCATCTACTTTGACTTTACTATTTTCAATTTTCTTTAATAATGATTGATAATATTCGTTTAAAACTAAATCGCATTCTTCTTGATTGCTAAGTACATGGACTTTAATATCACTTGGTAATTTAAACCAATCAATATTCTTTTTTTCCTTATTATTATTTTCATCTATACTATTATCTAAACTGCTATCGATACTATTATTTAATGATGATGATGATGATGATTCGATACTCTCTTTATTAATGATATCATCTATAGGTTCATCGTTGTTTAATTTATCATTATCTTTTTTTTTATTTTTATTTTTATTTATTAAACTTTGTATTGATCTGATAACTAAAAAACAAGATACAAATAAAAATCCAAATCTTAAAAACTTTGACTTTTTATAGATTTCTAAAACTTTTAACATTCTTTTAAATACAAATACTATTACAAATAAATAAACAACTGGTGGTTAAAAAAATTTGAAAAAAAAAAAAAAAGTAATTTTCGAAAATTATGTTAAAAAAAAAAAAAAAAAACATTTCGGTTAAATTAAATAAAAAAGATATAAACAATTTCAAAATTGCCAAAAAATAAATTTTATAAACCAAAAAAAAAAAAAAAGAAAAAAAAAATAATTATAAATAAAAAAATTTTAATTTTATTTAAAATTTTTATGAAAATTATGTTAAATAAAAACTTTATTTGGTTTTTGTCAAACTACACCATTTAGAAATAATGGCAATTTACAAACCATCATGTTTTTTTTAATATAATTTTTTATTATTTTTTGTTCCGTTATATTTTTTTTTTTGTTTATTAATTATTTTCATTCACAAACATTAATTAAATAACAAATAATAATTCAGATAATTTAAAATTATAAACAACAATAAAAAAAAAAATGACTAAACACTATCCATTTCTTGATGTTTCTATAGATTTTAATCAAGAGTATGTATTTTAATTAATTTTTTATATTTTATATAGGTTTTATTAACAATTATTTTATTAGTAATTTAAATTTAAGCTATAGTAAAAATATTATTGATTACCAAGCAGATGGGTTGGTAATTGGATATGTAAATTTAAATGAAGAGACTCGTAAACCAGCATGGATATATGATGGGGAAAAGCCATTGGATTGGGCACTACCATTAATCAATGAATTAAAAAATTCAAATAAAAAAGTAATTATTTCATTTGGTGGGGGTTATGGATCAGGTAAATAAAATTACACTCAAAAAAAACATATCAATTATAACTTTAATGATTAACTATTAAATACAATTATTTATTTTGTAGATATTGAAGATCTAAACTCAAATGAATTAAACAATTGCTTTAAAGAAGTATGTCAACTATTCAAACCAAATCAATTGGATTTAAATTTAGACTCTGGCCTATACAGTCCTGAATCTATAGACTTAATATTCAAATCAGTTAAAGAACTAACCAAAATCAATGATAAATTGCAAATCAGTATTTCCCTAAATATCACACCATCAATGGGGTTGGGTGAAGAAGAATTCGAAATAATCAAATGTGCAAAGGAAAATGATATCAATTTTATTATAAATGGTGTTTTTAGTGATATTTTAAACCCAGACTGGGCAAACAAGCTAGGAGATGCATCTATTGAATCAATAAAACAACTAATAATGCAATTCAAACAAGTTTACCCTGATAGCTCTGAATTTGACCTCTATAAAAGAATTGCAATCACTCCAATGATAGGTCTAAACAACAACTCCACCATGTATACTTTAGAAGATTCAGAAAAACTTTCAAAATTCGCTTATGAACACATGCTTGCCTACACAAGCTATTCAAGTCTCAATCGTGATCATCCATCTGTAAACAATGATGATTCTGATAATAAATTTTCTTCAAATAATCCAAAACAAAGTCAAGATGGTCAATATACAAAACTTTTTGTCCCAACTATTAAAAAAGATGACCGCTCAATTTAAAGCCATTTATTAAATTATTAATTTAAAATTAATCAAAAAAAAAAAAAATTATAGTTTTTAAAAAAAAATTATAAAAAAAATTATAAAAAACTTTTGTTATAAATAATTTATTTTTCATTTTTTTTTCATTAATTTCTAATTTCAAAATTACCAATACAAATAATAAATAAACATATAAATAAACAAATAATGAATATAATAGAAAAAGATATATTTTCAGAAAAAAAAAATAACCAATTTTTTTTTATTTCAAAAATTGATTTTTTTACTCCATCTTCTTTTCCTTCAACCGCAATCCCTGAAACTACAAATGGTAATTTACAATCATTTGGTACCCAATTTCTTTCAAATTTTAAACAAAGTGATCTTACTTCTCCATTTAGTAGTAAAATTAAAACAAATCAACAAAATGAAGAAATTATATTGTCACCACCATTCAATGATTTAATTACTGCTCCTTCGTCACCAGAACATTTTTTAAGGGAATGTGAAAGTTTTGAAAATAAAAATACTGAAAATGACCATTTTTATAATTGTGATACTACCAGCGAAAATTATTTAAAAAAAGAAAACTATAAAAACCAAATTTATCAAGATGATGAAACTTTAAAAGAAACCAACTATTTCAAAAAAATATATTTAAATAGTAAAATAGTAATTCAACTCGAAGATGATGAAAATGACAGTAGATATACAGAGTATCAAGATAGTTATCTGGACTACTATTCAAATATAGAACTATAAAAAATTAAAACTAAACTTTAAATATAAAAAATAAAACCTTTGTAATTTTTAAATTTCCCAATCAAAATTTTTGATTGTTCATATCATATCTTTAATAATATCTTTCTCAAAACTAATCACGCCCATTCTAATATTTAAAAAATTATTATAAAAACCCGCTTTCTTTTAAAAATTTTTTTTTTTTTTAAATTTTTTAATTTAAAAAATTTTATTAAATAAAATGAATTATTATTATCACTAAAAAAAAAAAAATAGAAATATGATAGAATCGTCAATATCAAGATTCGATAACATAACAGACAATAGCGAGCTAACAAATGGCGATGGTATATATTATATTAAATGTAATTGGCAACACAACTCCTTCACAATATACCTCACGGATCTCACAAATGTTTGGTCATCCAACAGTAAGTATCTATACATATAAACCATGCGTGTATATTTATATTATAATTCGAAAATAAAACTAATACAACATATTTATTTATTTATTTATTTATTTATTTATTTATTTATTTATTTATAACAGTACCTTCAAAATATATAGACAATATATTAAAACCTCAAGGAATGGCATCTGAAGAATATATGAATTTATTAAAGAAATCACTTTTAAATCAAGATATCACCAAAAAACAATTTGACTATAAAATTAATAAATCTAAAAAATCATCTAGTGACATAGAGGTAAGTAGTATATTGTAATATATGTATACCATTATTTAACGTACTGTCATCTAATATCATCTATTTATTTAGCTTTGTATTATAATTATTTTATCAGAATTTGATAATATCAATATAAAATCAAACATACCACTTATCAAAGTTAACAACACCCATCAGTCATTCCAAAACTATTTCAACTGGCTATTTGAAAAATATAAATCATTAACAGATCAAAACCAACAACTTGTACAATTAAATCAATCATTACAATTACAATTTAATCAATCAATAGAGCAAAATAAGATATTTATAAAGGAAAAAGAAAAGATAGAATCTGATCTATATGAAAAGTTTATAATAATATTAAACGAAAAGAAAAAGAAAATTAAAGAATTTAAACAAAAAATTGAAGGTTTAACAATTGAAAATAATAATTTAATAAAACAAAATCAACATAATAATAATAACAATAATAGTAATAAAAAACTACCCCAAGCACCAATAAAAAACACACCTAAAAAGAAAATAAAATTTAATAATAGTAGCTATGGTTCAATATTTGATGATATTATGCACAATGGTGATAACGATGATAATGATGATTTCAAAAATACAATTGATGACATAGACAATACCTATAAACCAACATTTAACAACTCTACTCTATCTATAGATCTACTTTCCAATGATGATGCATATAGCGTACCAATAAGTGTTAGAAAAAGATTTAAACCTCCGAACAACAGTAATGATATGAATAATACTCTGACCACAACCTCTACCGCTTCTACCACACCAATTACAAACCTATCGAGTAATTTAAAAACACCAACCAAGAAGAGAACTAGTATATCCCCAAAGAAATCCCCATTCAAGCAGCCCCAACAACAACAACCACAACAACAACAACAGCAGCAGAAACAACAACCCACTCTTAATTATCGCCCATCACCCATTAAGAAACGACAGAGTACCAATAGTAACTACATAACCCATCGAGTACAGCTATCAAGGCAAATTCAAATCTAGAATAGTTATTGTTGAGATGAAGATGATCGATGAGGGTGGATATACCTATATAAAAATACAATACGCTATCAATCATAGTCATCGTAATAAACTAGAATAATAAAAGTTTTAATAAAAAGTTTTGATGATATAGAACCAGGGGCATCAGCTTTATTAAATGAACTCTAAAAATAAAATTTATTAATAAAAATAAATAAATAAAATTGTTTAAAAGAAACTTTATCTTTTTTTTTATTAAACTTGTATGTTGGTTATATTATATTAGAGAAAAGAATAAATAAAAAGAGATAAGTGAAATATTAAAATTACATTATTTAAATTTTTTTTTTTTTTTTTTTATTATATATATAAATTTTTTTTTTTTTTTAGAGAGTGTCGAGATCTGAAAAGTAATAGAAAAAGAAATATTAATTAGTATATTATGTTAAATGAATTGTAATATTATTGTTTGATTATTATTATTAAAGATACATACCAACATCGTCATCAGCAACGAATTCGAATGGAATATCTTCAGTTTCATCGAAAACATCGGTTTCGTTAATTCTGGCAGTTTCTGGTAATTCACCATAAGTTTTAAGGTTACGAGCTTCATCAACATTATAACGAAGAATGACATCAGCTTTTTCATTTTGATAATCTCTTAATTGAAGTAAAATAATATCACCATTATTAATCCATTCTTTCTTTCTTAATTTACCACTGATGTGACATAAACGTTTTTCACCATCAAAACATTGAGCTTCTAAACGACCATTACCTAACATTCTTAAAACTTGGGCATATTCTTGGCCATCTTCTTTGAATTGAAGTTCTCTTTTTTGTTCATTTTCGTTCTTTCCTCTTCTACGGTTTTTACCACCTTTTCCCTTATTTTTAGGCATCTTGTTATGTTAAGTTAACTATATATTTTTTATAAAAAAAAAAGTATTTGAATTTGATATTTATTTGAATTGTTATATTTGTATTAGTATTTGTATTAGTATTTGTATTTGAATTTAATTGATAAAAAGAAAAAATAGAAAAAAGAAATTAGTTTAAAGTTATAAGAAAAACTAAAAAAAACAAAATATAATATAATATAATAACACAAAGTATACACACAAGTTTAAACTTTCGTTTTATTAAAAAACAAAACAAAATAAATAAAAAAAAAAAAATTTATAATAAAAAAAAAAATTAACAAAATAATAAAAATAAAAAAAATAAAAAAAAAGAAACACAAATTAATGAATTTGTAGTTTGAAACAGTTATTTATGTGTGTGTGAATGTTAAATATTAAAAATTAATTATAAAATATTAAATATTTATGTGTGTGTCTATTATTTATAAATTTTTTTATTTTTTATTTTATGTTTATGTGTGTGGTTTTTAAAAAATATATCTTATTTTATAATAAACTTATTATCCACAAATTAAATATTTTTTAATTAATTATTATAATTGAATGAATTGTATTATAAAAATGAAGTTTAAAATTCTAAAAAAATAAAATTGTAGTTCATATCGCTGTATTTGATATTACTATTTATTTTATAATTTGATAACTATTTTATAAATAAAAGAGGAAAACAAAAGAAATAAAATACAAACTATAAAAATAAAATTCTAAAATTATATATAATGATCACCTACATAATTGAACTAATGAAAAAAAAATAAAAAAAAAAATAAAAAAATATTTATCTTTTTCGTAAAAAAATTGAAAAAAAAATTTTAAAAAAAATTAAAAAAAATTGAAAAAAAATTATAAAAATTATTTTATTTTTAATAAAAAATTAAAAATAAATAATTCTAATTCAATTCTTAATTTATTATCAAAATAGTTTTATACTTATTTGTATAATTGTTTGCTCTTTATTTAAATTGCAGTTTTTTTTTATATAAAAAAACTATAGTTTTTATATTTTTTTTTATTTTTTTAAAATTTAAAAATTTTTTTTTTTTTTTTTGGAAAGGAGGAATCTGAGATATAATTTGTATTTATTTGTGTGTATTATTATAAAGACCTATTATGAATAAAAAAATTAAATAGAATAAAATTTTTTATTTATTTTTTTTATTTTTTTATTTTTTTTTTTGAAAAAAAATAACTGTGTTGCCTTCATTTTCGTTTCTTTTTATTTTTTTATAATAAAACTAAAAAGAAAAAAAGAGAAATAATGATTTTCTTTAAAAAAATAAAAAAAAAAAATAAAATTTAATTTAAAAAAAAATTGATGATGATATTTTTTTTTTTTTATCTTTTTTTTAAATTTTTATTGTTGTTGTTGTTTATTTTATAATTTTATTAAATAATTAATATAAATATTTATACTTGTATCTATTTGTATTTATTTTTTTTCTTTTATTATAATAGTTAATAATAAATTACAATAAAAGAAATGTCACAAGTTATTTCAACTGTATCAAAACCTTATGATATTGATTTTAAAACATTAATATCGGTTTTTGGAATAGGCTTTTTAGGACATTACTTGGTTAAAGCTTATAGTAGAAAGATAGTAAGAAATCCAACAGTTTTTAGATTTGGTATAAATTCAAATGGTGGTGAATTGGTTGCAAATGTTTTATTAAAACAAGGTGTCAGTTTTATTTTCACATTAACTGGTGGCCATATTGCTCCAATTTTAATTGAATCAGATAAAATTGGTATCAAAGTTATTGATGTATGTATAAAAAAATTAATATTTCAAAATTATATATTATTTTTATTAATAGTTTTTTTTAAATTAATTTATTATAGGTAAGACATGAAGCAACAACAGTATTTGCAGCCGATGGTGTTTTTAGATTAACAGGTACTCCAGGTGTCGCAGTTGTAACAGCTGGCCCAGGTTTAACAAACACAATTACAGCAGTAAAGAATGCTCAATTGGCTCAATCAGGTGTAGTTTTAATTGGTGGAGCAACTAGCGATTTATTAAAAGGTAGAGGATCATTACAAGATATTGATCAATTCGCATTATTAAAACCACATGTTAAATGGTATGCACATGTTGGTAAGGTAGCAGATATTGTTCCAGTTTTAGAAAGAGCATTTTTAGAAGCTAAATCAGGTACACCAGGTCCAGTTTTTATTGAAATGCCAATTGATACTCTTTATCCACAACCAGTAGCAACTCAATGGTACATGAAAAATCAAGATAAAGCCAAATCATTATCAGCCAAGGCCATTAATTTCTATATGAACTATCATTTAAATAGAATTTTCTCAACAGTCGATTCAAATGTTATGATTAACGAGAAAGAACCAATAGTTCACAGAATTGAAAAGTCTATGACCAAAAGATTACGTTTAGCTTTGAAAGCTTCAAAAAGACCAGTATTAGTTGTAGGTTCACAAGCAACACTAATCAACGATAAATTTAGTGTTGAGGCCCTTCAAAGAAGTGTTCAAGCATTAGGTATCCCAGTATTTACATCATCAATGTCACGTGGTTTATTAGGCACATCCCATCAAAATCTTTTTAAACATTGTCGTTCTTATGCCCTTCAAAATGCTGATCTTGTAATTTTAGCAGGTGTTACATGTGATTTCCGTCTCAATTATGGTAAATCAATTAATCGTAATGCTACTATTTTTTCAATTAATCGTAATAAAACCGATCTCTATAAGAATAGAACACCAGAGTATCCATATCTTTGTGACCCATCAACATTTTTAGTACAATTAAGACAACAAATGGAAGAAAACAAATTCGAATCACCAAATGCTTGGAGAACATGGTTAGACGACCTTTCATCACGTGACATTAATAGAAATCTTGAAATTGCATCCAAAGCTAACCTTCCACCAAGCAAAGAGGGTTTCTTAAATCCATTAAAAGCATTGCAAATGTTTGATGAAAAATTACCACATAAAACTATTATGGTAGCTGATGGTGGTGATTTCGTTGGTAGTGCCGCTTATATTGTTCGTCCAAGAGGTCCTTTATCATGGTTAGATCCAGGTGTATTTGGTACATTGGGTTGTGGTGCTGGCTTTGCTTTGGCCGCTAAACTTTGCAGACCAGATCACCAAGTTTGGGTAATTTTTGGTGATGGTAGTTTTGGTTATTCTCTTCCAGAAATTGATACCTTTGTTAGACATAAGCTTGCCATTGGTTCCATTATTGGTAATGATGCTTGTTGGATGCAAATCATGCGTGAACAAGTTGATTCACTCCATAGTGAAGTCGGCTGTAATTTATCCTACACAAATTATCAAGATGCCTCTATTGCATTGGGCGGAAAGGGTTATAAAGCATCAAATATCGACGAATTAAAACACGCTTTAGACGAATCAAGTAAAATTTTAGATCAAAATCAAGAACCAGTAGTAGTTAATTGTATCATTGACCGTAATGATTTTAGAAAAGGATCAATTAGTGTATAAAAAAAAGCATTATAGATAACCAAAAAAATAAAATAAACTAAACATTTAAATAAATTTACACATTTTTTTGTTTTAATAGAATAATAATATTATTATTTTATTTATAATAATATTATAGTTTTGACATTTTTGAATATAGATAGTTTTTAATTATGCAATATACACTATAACCAAACAAAATCCATTGCTTATTAGTTATAAATGTATATTGATGGATGTAAATCGAGTAAAACTCGTTTATATCCCACTAAAAGTGTCTATCTATGTATGAGCCCACGGCTCTTTTGCTAAGCACTTCAACACCTGTGTCAGTAATAAGAAGTGTATGTTCAAATTGAGCACTTCTTTTACCATCAGCTGTAACAGCTGTCCAACCATCTGGCCAGAATTGATCTTGCCATGTACCTTCATTAATCATTGGTTCAATTGTGAAAACGTGACCTGGTTTCATAACACCTACAGCCTTGTTATTGGAATAATGTGGAACATCTGGAACACAGTGGAATAATCTACCAGTACCATGACCACAGAAATTTTTGACTACAGAAAAACCATTCTTTTTTGCATGCTTTTGAATAACATTACCAAGTTCTCTGTAGAGTACACCTGGTTTACAAATTGCAATGGCTAATTCTAAACATTCATAAGCTGTTTGAACTAATTTCTTTCCTTGTTCATCAACATTACCAATTAAAAAGGTTTCATTCAAGTCACAATGATAGCCTTTCCAATACAATGAGACATCAACATTTAAAATGTCACCATCTTGTAATGGTCTTTCATCTGGAATACCATGACAAATAACTTCATTAATTGATCTAAATATTTAATTTTAAAAATTAATAAAACCATTTTTTTTGTCATTATTTTATTAATTATTATTATTATTTAATAGTTATTATTTTTATTTACATACGTGCAGCATGATTTTGGGAATTGGTAATAGTTTAATGGTGATGGGTAAGCTCCTCTTTCAACAATTGCATTATGAACGATAATATCAATTTCTTCAGTAGTCATACCAACTTTTGCTACATTACCAGCAATATCCAAAACTTCTCTTGACATCTAAATTTATATAGTTGTAGTGATTATTAGTATTGGTGCTATTGTTTTATATCGATCTATAATATTTACTTTTGCTAAATGTCTCATAATTTCGATTTCATCTGGTTTGTAGACGATAATTGGTGCATTCTTTCTATATGCTTCCTTTTCTTTTAGGGGAATGGCTAAAAATAGGTTGAATAGTTTAATTAGGATTACAATAAAAAGACTCTTTTCATTTCTATTACTATTTCTATTTTATTTTCTCTATGTTCTCGTTTACTCTTTTCCAATACTCTATTATTCTATATTGCTCTATATATTAGTTTTTATTACTTACAACTAATAGCATGGTCAGGTAATTCAATACCTTCTGGTACTTTTCTCATCGGAGTAACTTTTGCTGGTCTTAAGGAACCAGTAAAGTCATAATTTTTAAACTTTGCTGGTAAGTCATCACTATTTCCAGTTGATGGTTGATGATAAATTTTGTGAATTGGCCAAAAACTTTTGAAACAAGCTTGTGAACAAAAATTTGAAGGGTTGTCAAGATTTAAATTGAAACAAGTTGGGCATTGAAGCTTTGCATACTTGCCACAACCTGGGGTTGCACATACAGTAACCATTTGTTGTTGTTTTTATATAATAGAACTAAAAGTATATTAAAATGAAAAAATAAAATTAAAAAAAATAACGAATTTAAAAAATAAAAAAAATAAAAAAAATAAAAAAAATAAATTAAAAAAATTTTAATTAAAAAAAAAAAAAGTAAATAAAATAAAATAATTAATTTTTATAAAATATTTTAGTTGTTTATTTTGATGTTTATGTTGAAATCTGGCTAAGCATATACATATTTTGTTTTCCTCTTCATTTTCAAAATTTCTGAACTGGTTTCATATGCTATCACTACTTTCATTTGATGTTTGACGGTGATGTTTTGATTTATTTGAAATATTGGATGGGGGAACTTTTCTTTTGTTTGATTCCTGTGATAAAATTTCATCTTGGGTTAAATCAATTAGGATGTGTGGCGAATATATTTGGTTATTATTTTTTGTTGTTTTTCTTTTTTCTTCTTCTTCGCTATCACTTCTTTGAACTAGCTGTGATATATATATTGAATTATTATTATTATTATTATTATTATTATTATTATTATTATTATTATTATTATTATTATTATTATTATTATTATTATTTATATTATTATTTATATTATTATTTATATTTATATTATTATTATTATTATTATTACTATTATTATTATTATTATTATTATTACTATTATTATTATTATTATTATTCATATTGTTAATATTTATATTATTATTTCTATTATAATTATTGTTGGTGTTATAATTATTCATATTATTATTATTATTATTATTATTATTATTATTCATATTGTTAATATTTCTATTATAGTTATTGTTAGTGTTATTATTATTATTATTATTATTATTATTATTATTATTATTATTATTATTATTATTATTATTATTATTATTATTATTATTATTATTATTATTATTATTTATTTGGCTCTTAAAAAAGGTATTATGGTTGTGGACATAATCAGAATAAAAACTCTTGGGTATACTATTATTTAGATTATTAAATATATTAAAGCCTTGGTTTTTATCATTATTGCAATTGTTATTATCAAAGCTATCTATATTAATATTTTTTTTTGTGGCACTAGAATTGGAAGCACCAATATTTAAATTTTCATTATTATGACAAATTTTATTATAATTACTATTATAATTACTATTATAACTATATTTGATATTTGTAAGTTGGCTACTGTTTTTTGGAAAAAAATTATTTAAACTTGAATTCTCTGAAAAACCACTATTTAAATAATTAATAACATCATTATTTATTTTATTGTTTTTTGAGCTGTTATTAAAATTAACATTGTTTCTATAATTTCCAAAATTATTATTACTGTTACTAGTATCATTATTACTATTGTGACTATAAATGTTATTATTATTATTATTGTTATTATTATTATTATTATTATTATTATTATTATTTATATTATTATTGTTATTATTGTTTGTTCTTCTTACTTCTTCCATATCACAGCTTTGGATTTGTGACGGATATTTGAAATTAATAAAATCTAAATTTTTATTATGAAATTTCAAAGTTGAGTTTGAATCCCCATTAAGGTTGGAATTTTCAATTTTTTCTTTTTGAATAATTTCAGACAAATTATTCATGATTTCAGACAAATTGGAATTTGAAGAGTTTCTCCATAGATTCTGTTCTATAATTGATCTATCTGATTGATTATCTGATATAATAGTTGAAATTTTTTTTTTTAAGGCATCTGATTTTTCAATTAAATATCTTGCTACTGATGCTTTTAATTTTGAAACTCTTATTTCTTTTTCTTTTAATATTTTTCGAATGGTTGCTTCACTATAAAGTTTATAGTTATTAATTTCATTCAATACTATAACTAAATCACAGTAATATGTGATTTGATAAGCTCTTTGTGGCTGTTTAGAAATTTTATTATATAATAAACCTTCTTGAAAAAAGCCAAGCAGGACATAAATATTGTATTGTTCTAGATAATGAAATACAATTTTGTGTTCTTCAATTCTTCTTATTACACAATAAAATTGTTCTTGAGTGTGAATAATTTCATACTCTCTTAATATTTGATAGATTACTTTTTTTTTTAATTTGGTAAGAGCTGTTTTTGGAATTTTTGTAAGGTCTTCCAAATAATCAAAATGATGTATTTTTTTTAGAAAATATAAACATCTAAAAACATGTTCTAAATCATGTTTCTCAATGTTATAGTTGGTATGGTGATGTTTTTTTGTGAAAGGATATTTTTCATTTATTTTTCTAGCAACAAAATATTTTATTTTTTTTGGTACCACAGCAGGATTTTCAAATATTAGTTTTAAACTTTGTTTACTATAACCAAGAATTTTACTTCCTATAGTTTTGTTTTCTCCATTTGATATGGTTCTAAAGACAGTTAAAAAATCAGCTCTTTCCATTTAATTTGGTTTTTAATATTATTATATTATTTTTATTATCTATTAATTTAAGTTATTGTGTTGGAGTAAAATTAATAAAAATATATAAAAAATAAAAAAAATAAAAAAAAATAAAAAATTGGCTCTTTCCATTTAATTTTATTTATATTATTATTTTTATTATTTAATAATTAAGTTGTTTTGTTGAAAAAAAATTAAATCTAAAAATAACCAAATTTTTTTTTTTTTCAATTCACCCAATTTTTTTTAAGTTTTTATTTTTTTTTTTTTTTGTACCATAAAGGTGTTTATTATGAAATTATTAAAAAAAATTAAATATTATAATAGTGGTAATATAAATATAATAAATTTAAAGTTATTATTTATGGAGCTCCATTTGATGCATATTTTTATTTGAAAAAAATTATAATAAAAAAAGATTTTTTTGATTGTGTTATGGGTCGAAAATGTGTAATGCAAAAATAAAATTTTTTTTTTTTTTTTTTAAAATTTGAGAAATATTTAAATATTAAAAACTATTTTTTTATTTTTATTTTTATTAAATTTTAATAATAATATAAATTAAAATGGCCAAAAAAGTAACATTGTGTGATTATGACTATTTATTTAAAATAATGATAATAGGGGATCCTGGAGTGGGGAAATCTTCGCTTATAAAAAGTTTTGTGAATGAACCATTCAAAGAAAATTATGAACAAAGCAGAGATTATGATTTTAAAATTAAAAGCAATATGTATATAGACGAAAAAAATATTAAAGTTCAAGTTTGGGATACTTACACAGAAAGATTTAGACAAAATAAAAGGCCATACAGGGGCTCGCATGGGGTATTAATTTTATATGACATTACAGATAGGCAATCATTTTACAATGTAAAAATGTGGCATTTGGAAATCCAAAGATATGCATGCGAAAATTGTAAAGTACTTTTAGTAGGAACAAAATCAGATATACCAGAAATATCGGCATGTGATCGAATGGTTACCTATGAAGAGGGTTTAGAATGTGCGGATACCTACGATATCCCATTTATAGAATGTTCAGCTAAACAAGGTTACAATGTATATAGTGTTTTTATGGCTATGGTTAAAGAAATTTATGAATATAGACTAGAGAATGAAGGTCCTTCTCTTCCTCCATCAAACAAAGTAAATTTAGTTAGTTTTAAAAAAGCTAAAAATAATAATAAAAAATGTATTTTAAATTAATTTTAAAAAATGTACAATTAATAATTATGTATTCTCTTCACACAAAAATAAATTTGTAAAAAAGTTTTAAAAAGTTGTAATTATTTTTTATTTATTAATTTTATTTTTTAATTTTATTTTTAATTTATTTTTAGAAATCTAATTTTTTTTTATTTTAATTTATTTATTTTAATTTATTTATTTATTTATTTTATTTATTTGTTTATTTATTTGGTTTTATTGTTTTTTTTAATATTGAATAGGTTAACCTTTAGTATAATATTTTAAATATAAATAGAAGTTTGTGAGTGGTTCATATTTATTTAGATTTTTATTTAATTTTATTCAGGCAAATCTAGATAAAAAAAAATATTTAAAATAAAATAAAAAAAAAATAAAATAAAAAAAAAAAAAATTAAAATTTTGTTTTTTTTTTATTTTTTATTTTTTTAATTAGGATTCTTTCAACAATAACCATACACATTTTTTTTTTTTTGATATTTTTTTTTTTTTGATATATTTATTATTTTTTTTGTACAATATAGTATTAAAGTAATCACATTATATATATTTTGTTTGTATGTTGTAATTTTAGAAAATATAAAAAAAAAAAAAAAAAAAAACAAAATGAAGATTAAAGTTACTTTTCAAGAAAGAACTGCAGAGTATTCATCTGATGCAGATATAACTAATTTAGCTCAAATTACCCAAAAGTTATGTTCATTGTTTTTAATTTCAAACTTTTATGCTTATTCGTTGTTTTTATCTAGTGGTCAAATTATTGATGTATGTAATAAAAAAAACAAAATAGAAAATAACAATTACAGAATATTTATCTAACCTATTTAAATGTAATTAGAATTTAAATTTAATTGAGGATGGATCAGAAATTATAATAAAGCATTTAACTAAATTAGGACCAACACCATCGTTTGGAGGAAGCACAGGAATGCCACAACCCACTCAGCCAATAGGAATAAATAGTAATAATAATATTAATAGTAACAATACATTATCATCATCACCATCGACAAATGTAGCTGCAAATTCAATAAATAATACTATTACAGTCGCACAAAATATATCAATCGATACATTATTAAATAATTTAAAAGATAATGTATTAAAAAAGAAAGCATTTTTTGATTTAAAAGATTTAAAAGAAGAAATTTTAATTAGAAAATTTGTAGAAAAGAATGGAATTGATTCTATCATATCACAGATAAAAGATCTAACTGGCAACACTCTCAGTTATGCATTATCAGCACTTCAAACTATTGTTTCATACGAATTTGGTTTAACCTCAATTCAATTAAGCAACTCTATAGAGTTAACTAAAGAAATATTACCAATGATAGAAAATTCAAACCCAAGTATCAGCAAAACATCATTATCACTATTATGTTTATTTTTAAGTAAATCAAGTCACTCTGTTGAAATATATAAACAAATATTCAAAAATAATAATAATGGTAATAATAACAACAACAATGATAAATTATATAATAAAATATTAGTACAATTATTGGGTTCAAGTTCAACTGTCGATATACAATTAAATTCTCTTACATTAATAAATAATATTATCAATAAAACTTTACAAGTTGATGGTGAATTAGAATTTAATAAACTTTTAAGCGAATTGGATTCTTATGAAATTAACCCAAAGTTAAAGAAGTTGGTTGAAGGAATCATCGCGCCAGAGTTAAAGAGACAACTTTATATTTATCAAAGACATCGTTTCCAAGTGATTACCAATAGAAAGAATGTGGTATTTAACAAAGAGTCACCAGAACATGATGCTTTATTAATGAAGCTTTGGAATTTAACTTTTCCAAGTGTAAAGCTCGAATCACGTGTTTCTGAGCAATGGAAGCAAATGGGTTTTCAAGGAACTGATCCATGTACTGATTTCCGTGGTATGGGTATTTTTGGTTTAGATAATTTAGTTTATTTTGCAGAGCACTATGGTGATAAATTTAGAAAGATTGTTAATAGTCAAGTTGACCGTAAAGACAGAGAATATCCAACAGCAACAGCAGGTATTGTAATCACATTCGAACTTTACAATACCATTTTTAAAATGGGTGATAAGGTTAACCCAAATTTACCAATAGATGAAATACCATTATTTCCATTGTTTTTCTCACATCCAAATGCTTTTGAAGAGGTCTATTGTACAACATTTCAAATTTTAGATAGTACCTGGGATGATATGAATGGTACCTACATGTATTTTCAAAAGATTATTTCTTCAGTTAAAAATTTAATCATATCGGCATTAGAGAGTAAACCAACTACATTAGAGGCATTCGAGTGGAAGTGTCCAAAGAATAATTTAAAACAAAATGGTTTAGTTTTTAATGACCAACAACAATCAAATAAACCTCATCAAACCGATGATATTAAGGGACTTTGTCAACAGGTTAACAAAGAGGTTTTGGAATTTATAAAAAATCAAAAGACTCAGTATTTGTCAGAGGGATTCCAATTTAAATTACACAAACCAATTAAATCAAAATCCTCAATTGTTTTAAATTATATAAATATTAAATTGGACACTAATAACAGTAATCTTTCAGGGTCAAGTAATGAAATATATATTCAATATTGTCTCTTGCCATCATTAGATGTTTCGCCAGTAGACAGTAAATCATTTTTAGCATCAACCAATTATAACACAATAAAAGTATTGGATTTAAATTTCATTTCAGAGTCAACTTCAAATTCAAAGAAAAAAGATAAATCGACAAATGCAAATTTTCACTTTACCATCTCGATTAAAGATGAACAATTCCAACAAATTTTACAACAACCTATTAATGGTGGTAACAATTTCAATGATTTAAATATTATTAATAAAGACAATAGCAATAGTAATAATAATAGTAATAGTTCAACACCCAATACAACATCAACACCAACATCATTAACAACCTCCCCAATAATGATACCACAAAGCTCAAATAGTATTTCAAATCAGCCACCACTATCACCATCATTATTAAGTATGAGTGGTGGTATGTTGCCACCATCATCACCCACCTCAAATAGCAGTCATGCCTCATCAAATATTTTTGAATTGGTTTCTAACAACAGAGAGGATCTTTGTAATTTTTGGGATTCTATTAGATTATTATCGGGTCAAGATATTAAATCGCCAGAGGGTTCTGAAGATTATCAATCTCTTTTAAATTTAAATACATCATTAAAATTATTAGATTTAGAAGGTATTGATATTCCACTACAAACTCCACCAATACCACTTTTACCAGAAAACTATGAATTTAGAAATATTTAAAAAGAAATTAATAAACAAATAACGAAAAAAAGATAAAATAAAATTAAAAAACTATTTATTTAAGAGGATATATTAAAAATTTAAATATAAAGGATAAAAATAAATGAGTATTGTAATTACATATGGGTGTTATACTAAAACTCTGCTTTATATAATTAACTATTACTAAAAATATTGTACAGCTATACAAAACTTAATTTTATAATAAATTATAAATACAAATATATAAATGTTATAAATTAACTGATCTAACTATTTACTATAATTTGTTTTTTTAAATTTAAACTGATTTATTGGAATTTATTGATATATCAAAATGCTTTTCAAAAACTAATTCACTAATTAAAAAAAATATAAAAAAATCACCTGGTAGGAAATTAATTTTCTTTTATCCTAAAAATTTAAAAAATATTAATTTTTTTAATCCTAAAAATTTAAAAAAATATTTTTTATAAACTATAAAATAATTTTTTTTTCATTTTGGTTTAAATCAATCAATCAAATCAAATCAAATCAAATAAAATAAAATCAAATATTTTTATATAAAAAAGAAATAATAAATAAAAAATTTTTCAATCATTTTTTAATATTTTATAAAATTATAAAAGAGAAATCTTTTTAATATAAACCTTAAAAGCATAATGGGTATAGAAAATGAGGATCAATCTTTATTAAACAATAATAATAACACAAGTGTTTGTTATAATAGTTATAGTAATGGGTTTAATATAGTTAATTGTTCATATAGTTATTTAACAAAAATAAAATTAAAAAAAGAAGAAAATCCTAATTCAATGAGAGAAGTTTTTTGTAATAATTTCCCACCAGAACTATATCATTATATATCAACCCAAGATTATTGTAGTATAATACAGCAACTTAATCATTATAAACAAAACAGACCCTATTCACCTTATTATAATGGAATAGCTTTATTTTTTTATATACTCTTTTTCTTCTTTCTTATTTTATTCAGAAATACAAACGTTATTGCATCTATATGTATAGTACCAATTATGTTAATTTTTACAATAACCCATATAGTAATCATAACCAGTATTGGAAACAAAGTAAGGATAAATAATTTTATTAGTATTTAGTTTTATAATATTAATATTTTATTATTCAAATTATTAGTTTTACAGAGAAGTAATGGCATATATAGAGTTCCTAAATAGTATTTATACAAATATAACTTTCGAAGGTCATTTTTTGAAAAAATCATTAAGAGATGTTGAAATAACAATTGGAGTTTTAGATGAAGCAGGAAAGGTATTACCCCCAAACAAATACAGTCATTCAATACTTTGTGGTTTTAAATATTTAGTCCCAGAAAGATTACAATTTATTTCATACTCTTATAATAATACACCCAATGTAATTGCTCTGAGCAGTAATAGTAGTGTAGCTATAGATTTCAATAATTATCAATTTCAATATCAATACCAACAACCATTCCAACCAAATCAACAGCCATTGCAACCCATCATAATCAATTCAAATAAAAAATCAGAAAATAAACCAATAAATGAATATAAACAACCTACTATAGAGGAATTATTAACTCCCTCTGCCACTGAAGACTTTTATAGAACTCAAAATAATCAATAAATAAAATTTGTGGTTAACAATTAAAAAAAAATCAAAGCTTTAGGATTTAATATTTAAATATATTTTTAAAGTTTATTAAATTCTGTGCACTTGAAGAAACAATGGTGAAAATAATTTAATAAAAAGAAATTTAAAATATTTAGTTTAGATAAAATTTAATTAAAAAATGTAACATTTTCTGTCACTTGATAAGCGGATAGTTTTAAATAATCAAGACTAGAGTATTTGTTTCTATATGAACTTCTTTTCAATTTATCATTATCTATGATAAAGTTAGTTCTGAAAATTGATATTACCACTACAACATGGTCATGGTACAGGGCAAGTTTTACCAATGTTTTTTTATAGAATTTATTATTCCAGTCAAATAGTTTTAGTATTCTATGGTCACCCAACTCTATAAATGTTTTTATTAGATTTTGATCAAGTTTCTTTTCCTCTGTTGTAAATCTGTTGTAAACTTGTTGTATGGTTCCAAAGTCTCCACATGAAGCAATGGCATCTAATACTGACTTTGAATCTGCAATAAAGTGACTAAATGGACCACCTTCTATAGTAAGTTTGTTTGCATAGTATTCTAATAGTTTGATTTCTGACCTATTTACAATACATCTGTTGTTTCTTATATCAAAAAATCTATTGTTTATTATCCATGAGCAAAATTTTGCAATTGGTAGATTTATTGCATAGGGCAAGTGGCTTAATAATTCTAATGGTCTATAGGTTTCATTTGTATTTTCAATTATATATTTAAAATTTTCAATATCTTTTGAGGTGGTAAATCTTTCTTTGCAAAAGTTTGTGTGAAGTACTGATTCTTTAATTATTGAAGTGCTAAACTGGAATGACTCTTTTCTTGATATAGCATACTTGCACGATGATAGATAGTTCTTGTATTGTTTGGAGTTTGGTTTAAAATTGCATTCTTTTAATGAAATAAATCTTAATGAATCACAATTTAACTCTATGAAAGTTGATAATAAATCTAATCTACCATTAAAAAACCATACTTGATAATCAAAGAGCTCTTTTTTATTAAAGTTTTGATTGTTAAATAGTTCTAATAGAAGTTTTAATGTTTTTGATGATTGTGTGTATAATAATAAGTTTTTATAATTATTGACAATTGAAAGTACTGATTTATTATTATTAAAGTTTTTATTGCCATTATTATTAGTCTTTAATAAATCTTTAAATAATTGAGCTGAGAAATTAATTAAATTAATATCATCAGTTAAAATTATTAATGATAATATAAAATGAGGGTTTAGTTTATGTGATATCATGATACTATTATTATTTATTATTAAAAAAATTTGTTTTAAAAACTGTTCTTGACTATCTGAATTATTACAATGTTTAAATAAAAGTGATGGTAATTTGCTGCTATTGTTTTGGTTTGTAATAATATCTATTTCATGTTGAATTGTTGATATTATTACATTTACTGGATCTTTTTCAATTGATTTTAATAAATATTCATTTAATAGTTCGTATTTGCCATATTTGAAAGAGTTTAAAAATAATTTTTTATTAATTAATATACCATTGAAATTTGAACTAGCATTTGGGTTAATTTGAAAGCTGCTAAATGTTTCATTTGAAAATTCAATAGTTTGAAATTCATCGTTCCCAAATATACAATAATACTGAATGTTTTTTGAATAAAGAGTTGACAATTTACCAATTTCTAAATAGGATCTTAATAGGTTTTTGATTTTTAAATTGATACTTTGTGTTAAATCGATTTCTGTAATTCTTAAATTTAATTCATATTCTGAAAATGACATTTTATCTATTTCATCTTGGGTAACGATATAATTAATCCTTAAAATACCACCACCATTTCTCTTTGATATTTCGATACAATCTCTTTGGTGAATAAAAAATTTTAATATATGAATTATTTTGCATGCTTCAAATAGCCATTTTATTTTAAAATTTAACTCAAATGGACACTGACTATAAGGTGTTGACATTAATAGTCTCCAGCTTTCGGGTGAGAAAAATTTAAAGTTCTTTAGAGGAGGTGGTATATTTAGTTCGTTTATGATTTTGATAAATCTGAAACAGTTTTTAAAAATTTTGGACCAATTTAATTTGTTTACATAATCCCTGTAGTTTATTGTATTTTCATCATGGTTATTTTTGTTTTCTGGAGGTAAAACTTCTTGCTGTTCTAATTGTAAAATTTCCCTATCTTTGCTTAGTCTATTCATTACTGAGTTCCATACCAAATCTGAAGTTATTATTTTATCATCTGAATAACTACTGATATTTACCTTGCTATTTAAAACTTTGTTAGAATATAATATTGAAACGTGCTTACAATTTTTTGCTTTTTCTAATTCTTTTTGTAAATTGATTGCACTATTGCTTTTAGAAAAATAGAATTTTTTTAAAATATAAGACGAAACCTTGTAGCTATGGTATTTTGATATAAATCCTTCGAATCTAAATGCAACTGTATCTATCGTATATATCCTTTCGTTAATAATTAGCTCTTCCAATGTTTCATACAGACTTGACATGGCTCTAACATTATCAGTTTCATAAATGGCTTCTATTAACTTATCAAAGTCGAATCTAACAAACACTCTTAAATAATTTGATAATAAGATTTTGAAAAAAACCTTGTCTTTTACTGATTTGATAAAGATGAATAATTTCCTATATTTTTCTATTTTCTTTTTATCCATTATTGAGTTAATATGTAAGGTTTTAAAGTTGTAAACTCTATGTTTTAAAACATCCATTAAATCATTATCTATTAAATAATTTATAGAATGCAAAGGGATGCATTTGTATTTAGTATCATAATTAACTTTGAAATAACTGAATATTTTTTCATATAAAATTTTATTTCTGAACACATCCCAAAAAAATGGTTCATTATCATTATTGAATTGGGTAATTATAATATTATCTGATATAATATTATTATTATTATAAAAATTGTTGATATTGTTATCAACACTATTATTATTTGTAATGTCTTCCATTATTATTGTCAATTGATATATATATGATCAATAAAAAAATAAAATAAAAAAAATAAAAAAAAAAAAAAAATATATGATCAAAATAATAAAAAAATAAAAAAAAAAAAAAAAAAATATTTTTAGATAAAGAAATGAAAATGGGTCTTTAGATATTAAGATTTAAAAAAAAAAAAAAAGTGTTAGGTATTAATTTTATAATTATAATAATAATATTATTTCATACCCTTTGCCAAATTGTGTGACATCATAAAAATATCTTTTTTATTTTTTATTATTTTTTTATTATTTTTTTTCATTAAAACAAAAATAAATATCTTTTTTTTATTATAAAAATTTTCTCTTATTTTAATCTTTTGTTGAAATCTTGGTATAATTTTTTATAATTTAATTTTGAGTGATTATTTGAAATGGTTTCAAAGATATTTGTGTCATTATAAGAAATAAAACGGAATACTTCAATAGCCAACAAGATATGATCATGGAAAAAAATTTGCTTTACCATTTTCTTATAAAAAAATGAATTGTCCCAATCAAAGAATTTTATTACTCTTATGTCACCAAATTCTACTAAACATTTTGATATTTGATCTAGAATCTTTGAAATTTCTGGTAAAAACGATGAATAATTTTGTTGAAAGTATTAAAGTCACCACATGATGAAATTGCCTCAGGCCTGAAACTAAAAGCCAAGAGTAAAAGTTTGCAATTGGCAATTGAAAACCAGTTGAGTGATTCACTAGTTCAAAAGGTTTGTAGGTTTCATTTGTTTTTTCTATAATATACTTGATATTTTCTATATCTTTTGAAGTGGTGAATCTTTCTTTACAATGGTTTGAATGAAAAAGTTCTTTAATACTAGATTGGTTAATTTCAAAAAATTCTTTTCTTGACAATACATACTTGCACGCAGAAAGATAGTTTTTGCTTTGAGTTTAATTTGAATCCACATTCTTTTATTGACAAAAATTTCAACTTGATATTTTCATTTAATTGTTCAAATAGTGAAATTAGAAGACTCTTCTATTAAAAAACCAAATTTGATAGTTTAATAGCTTGGAATTATATTGTTGATTGTTGAACAGCTCGAAAAGATGAATTAAAGTTGTGGATGATTTTGTATATAAAAATAAATTTTTATAATTATTAATAATTAGAGTTCTTGATTTATTAGACTGGGGAACAGTGGATATTAATAAATCTTTAAATAATTCAAAAGATATATTGATTAAGTTGATATTATCTGTTGCGATTATTAATGAAAATAAAAAATAAATATTTAATTGGTGTGTGGGTAGCGTTGTATAGTTTTTATTATTTTTATTACTATTGTTGTTATTTAAACTGCCTATACAATGATTTATAAGCTGAATTTGGTGATTTAAACTATTACAGTATTTAAATAAGAGTGAAAGTGATTTGTTTGTGACTTTTTCTTTTGCAACACTATTTTTACTTGAATTATATATCTCTGGATCCAACTCTTGTTGAACTGTTGTAATGATTACATTTTCTGGATATTTTTCAATAGTTTTTAATAAATATTCATTTAATAGTTCGTATTTTCCATATTTGAAAGAGTTTAAAAACAATTGCTTACTTATTCTAAACCCACTATTTGAAAACTCTATAGTTTGAAACTCATTGTTGCCAAAGATACAATAATATTGAATACTTTTAGAGTATAGAGTTGATAATTTACCAATTTCTAAATAGAATCTTAAAAGTTTTTTTATTTTTGAGTTGCTACTTTGTGTTAGATCTATTTCGGTAATTCTTAAATTTAACTCGAATTCTAAAATGACATTTCAGCTAGTTCATCTTGACTGATAAAAAAGTTTGTTCTTAAATAGCCACCACCATTTTTCTTTGATACTTCAACAACTTCTTTATCACTATTATAAAATTTTATTGAATGAATTGCTTTGCATGCTTCGTATAACCATTTTACTTTAAAGTTCAATTCGAATGGGCACTGACTAGAAATAGTGGACATAAGTTCTCTCCGTGGTGGGATATTAATTTCATTTACGATTGAATTGATATATTTATAGTATTGTTTATTTATATTTGACCAATTTAATTTATTATTATTATTGCTGTTTGATTGTGGATGGGGCTCTTCATCAATTAGTTGATCTTTATCTTTACCAATTCTGGTCATTAATACATTCCATACTAAATCTGAATTTAGAATTTTATTATCTATAACCCACTATTAAATTGTATATTATTATTATTATTGTTATTTTTATTTTTTAAATCATTATAGTACTTTTTCAATATATAGTTTGAAACTTTTAAACTATGATTATTTAATATAAAATAATTGAAATTATTTAAAATATTTTCGACTGGATAAAGTTTATTTGTTCTATAATACTGTTAAATGATTTAAATAGCTATTATTGCTGATTTATTATCAGTTTCATAAATTGCTTCTATGATTTTATCAAAATCATATTTTACAAAGTATTTTAAATAGTTTGAAAAGAGACTAAAATTATTTTATAAAATAAATAAAAAAAAATTTCAAAAAAAAACAAAAATTGTCACGAGTTTTATAAAATATATTTGTAAATTTTAAATACAAAAATTGTTGAATGTTCATGTAAAATATCTTGTTAAATAAGTTTGGTTAATAGAAGCAAGATATTTAAATATACTTTTATATATATAAAACAAAATTTTTTTTTTTTAATTTTAATAATAAAATGTATATTACAGTGCCCAAATTATATATGCAGACCCCCAACTTTATTAAAATGGAAATGAATTATTGAATAATTCAATTAATAAATAAATATAAGTACCCCCTAAAATAAATTATATTACAAGATATTGATTTATTTGCTAAAAATTAAAATAAAAAAAAAATAAAAAAAAAAATAAAAAAATATGGTCTTAATATTTATTCCGTTTTTTCAATTTCAAAAATTTTATTTGTTTTTTATTTGTTTTTTTTTACAATTATATATAAATGATTATTATTATTTAATATTTAGTATATCCTCGATGTGTTTTTAATATGGCATCCATTCGGTCAGGAAGTGATTCATATAATGATTTTATAATTGATTTTTCTATTGAATGAAATGCATCTTGACATACCTGAAGAACTAGGTCCTGTAATGGTTATTATTAAAATGTTGGAACTTTACTTCTTCCATAAACATATAATTTTCTCATTATTCCACAATAAAATTTATGTGCACAACTTCAAAAAAATCTTTTTCTTCTATTATGTCTAATCAATGAAGGATTTTTAACTTTCTTTTTATATATTATGTTATATCTCTTTAATATAATTCTTACTGACTTGTATGATATTGTTCCATATCCATTTTGTTCATACCAAATTATACTTTATTTTATATTGTTAAATTTACTATTCAAAAAATTGAAACATAAATCATGTTCACATTCGTCAAACTTTGATTGTACCTGTTTGTTAAACCTTTTCTACTATTTTTGCTACTGTTGATTTATGCAATTTTTTTGCAATTTTTGAGTTCAACTTGTGACCTCTGTTTTTATATGATAATATCGAACTTCATCACTTAAGTTCATTTTGTTTATTTACTATATATTATTTTTAAACTTTTACGATTTATTTTTAAAAATTAATCATTATTGGTGGTTAATCTTGTTAATGATTTATTTGTTGGTGTCTAACATAAAATTCACAATTTTAAAAAAATTTTAAATAAAAAAAAATAAATTTATCATTTTTTAAAAAAAATAAATTTAATTTAAAAAAAATAAAATTTTATTTTTTCTTTTTTTTATTTTTTCATTAATAATTATTTTTCTATTTCAACCCAACAATTTTCTTTTTTTTTAAAAAATTATAATCATTAAAATACATATACTGTATATATGATCAACCATAACATCTCTACTAAAGTTAATAAATCACATACTTTTAATGGGTATCTCATTAAAATTTTATTATAAAAAAAAAATTTTTGGTTAAATTTGTAAATTAAAAATTTTTTTTTTTTTTTTTTTTATATTTTCAATATAAATAATTTAATCCAATTATTTTTTATTATCTATTCAATTTAATTTTTATTATTTATTCAATTTTATTTATACATATACAAAAAAAAGATGGCCACTTTTACAGTGCCCGAGGAAAATATGTAGACTCCCTGATATTTTTATATATGTGTTATAAATTGATTAGTTTGGATAGTTTTTTTTGATAAATATTGACACAGCCTAAAAATAATAAATAATGGTAATAAAAAAAAGTGTGGGAAATATGGCTAAAAAAAAAAAAATTAAAAAAATAAAAATAAATTTTTATCTCTTTTTTTTAATTATTTAAATTTTAAAATTTTTTTTATATCATTTTAAATTTTTACAAACTGAAAATAGTGCAAAAATAATTTCTAGAAAATAAACAAAATGAAGTTAAGTGATGAACTTCGATACTCAATATTATCATACAAAATCAGAGACCATTACTCAAATAGTAAAATTACAAAAAAATTGGGTGTCCACAAAACAAAAGTGGCAAAAACAATTCAAAGATATGAACAAACAGGTTCAATCAATGACCATCAACGTTTTGGAATAGAAAAAAAGATTCATGAAAGAGATGAACGTTTATTATGTTTCAAATTTTTGAATGGTGAGTTGAAGAATGTGAAATTAACAGTGGTTTGGTTTTATTCAACAACTGGCCACACCAGATTAGACTGGTTAGTTAGAAACGTATTGCATAGGAATAACATTGTTTATAAAAAGAAATTCATGAAACCTCGATTATACGAAGTTAAAAGAAGAAAAAGATATAGTTTTGGATTTGGCATAAAAACTGGAGTGTGGACCAATGGGAAAATCATATGTTTATGGATGAAGTTAGGTTTCAATAATTTGATAAATACCATTATATAAGATCTTGGGTCTATGAATCGTATGTTTTACTAGATTCAAAAACTTAAACAAGTGTTAGAAAAGGTGGAGATAATGTAATGTTTTGGGGAAAATTTTGTATTATGTTCCTAAAAATTAAGATCATCTTTCATAGGGATTATATTCTAATCTCTATATTGATATAATAATAAATGATACACAACCAAATCTGGGTTACTATGCAGATACGTTACAGGTGCCTGAGAAAGTTCACGAAAATTGTCATGAGAATTTCTAATCTTATTCACCAAATATGATTAGGGAGTAAAACTGAAAATTCAAAATTTCAATTGATGAAATACAACCTTTAAGCCCCGATTTATATATAATAGATAATCAATGGCCATAAGATACTTAAATGTTCTCAATCCGAATGTTCAGTAAATCAAATCATAACCTGATCCAATGTCGCATTGACGTTTTTCCTTACATCACTTCTGAGATTAGAAATAATTTTTATAAATCTCTTCCAAACAGAAAGGAGGCGATAATTAAGGCTCATGGGGAACATTCAAAAAATTAGGTAAATTCATTTGTTAAAATAAAAAAATAAAAAAAATTAAAAATAAAAAAAAAAAAATTTTTAAAATTAAAAAAAAGAGATAAATATTTTAAACATATAATTTTTTTTTTTTTATTTTAATTTAAAGGGTTTTAAATGAATCTTTATAAAATGAAGTTAATTTATTAGCCTTACATTATATTTAAATATTATAATCTAAATATCTTTTTTCAATATATAAATTTAAAATCGGTGGGGGGTCTACATATTTTCCTCGGGCACTGTAGTGATATTGTTTTAAGAGAAATCGTAAGTTACAACTATTAGAATAAATATAAGTAGTATATATATATTATAAAATACAATTTATTTATAAATTTATAATTTAATTTTTTTATAGAATATTAACATTAATTTTAAAAATAATACAGAAAGAAATGATGGCTCAATATGACTCTGATAAAAATAATGAACTTTCAAGAGAAGAAGTATTAGATAGATTCAAAAAAACTGGTGTCGCTGCTCCAGTTGAGTCCAGAAGAGAACCTTTCCAAGAGCCTCAATTAAGTGATAACGAAGATAAGAAAGAGGAAGTAAAATACGACTGGAAAGAGTGTTTCCCCACTCTTGACGAAAGTAGTTTCATTTCACCTGAAGAAATTATCCTGCTTCAAGATGATATTAATTCATATGTTAAGGCTTTCCCTCTCCCAGAATGGTTTGATAGTAAAGTACCAAGCTTCAGTTACCCTAAAGGGGCCGTACCTTCAGAAAATTGTAAAAATATTGACAAGGTTTTACAAGTCATTAATTTATATTGTTTTACCATTAACAGTACGAAAATGTCATTAATACGATGATATTTTATTCCTTATTATTAATTTTTCATAAAAAAAAAAATAAAAAAAAAAAAATATTTTAATTTTAATGAAAATGATCAAAAAGATCATGATTATAGTCCCACTACCACCAAAAATTCATCCAGATCAAAGGCACAATCTAAATATACAACAACAAGAAAAGTTGTAAAAAAAACAAAGAAATAATGTATAAATAATGTAATAATAATTAAAATAAAATTTTTTTTTAATTTTTTTTATTAATTTTTTTATTTATTTTTGATCCTTTTTGATCCTTTTTTGATCCAAAATCATTAAAATTTAGGATTTTTTAAATCCTTTATTTCATTTTTCGATCCAAAAAATCCTAACTTCTTCCCGGGGATTTTTTTTTTTGGATCGATCCTTACCTATATTATCAATAGCTTCTCGTTAAATTCCTTTTGTAAAATTTCATCAAGTTATTTTATAAAAAATTAATATTTTAAAATTAAAGCAATATTCGCCAAGCTTGAGACCATACTTATCTAAATGTATAAAAAAAATAAAAATAAGTATATTTTCTTATTTTTTTATATTTTTTTTTTATTTTCCTGAAAGATAATTAATTTTTATGTTTTTTTTTTATTTTTCTTATTTTTTTTATTTTTATTAAAATATTATAATATTTTAAAAAATAAAACAAAAGTACATAATAAATTTTAAAAAAATAGAAACAATTTAAAAATTTATGGATGTAACAATTAAAAAAAAAGATTGAATAATTCAGGTGATCAACAATTAAAGGTATTATAAGAAATTATGCATTAATTGATTATATAATGATCCAACTCAAAAAATATCCAGATAGTAAAAAAATAATAAAAGATTAAATTGAAATGTTTAAAAAATTTATTATCAAATGAAATATATCATAATATTCTACAAATTAAACGAGATCTTAAGAATTATTATGCACAAATTTTACACTAAGAAGTTCAAGTTATTAAATTTGAATGTTTGAAATGCCAGAGTTTTCTCACAAAAAAACAAAGAGGTAAAAGATATCAATGGGTCATACAAATACACAGTGGATTTTTGGAAAAAGGTTGAAACTTGAATTGAACTATATTTTTATAAATTGGGGAATTTTTGTTTGATATCTCGGATTCTAACATTTTATAAATAATATAATTATTAATAACGTTTTATAAATTTATTAATTTTTAATTTTTAAAAATTTATAAAAATTAATTAATTTAAAAAATTAATTTTTTAATTTTTAATTTTTAATTTCTAATTTCTTTTTTATAATATAATTTAATTAATTTTACAAAACAATATAAATAAAGGTGTTAATCACACTGTTAATATTTGTATAAAAGTTTTTAATATACATTTCAAAAGAGTCTTTAATTTATTTGCAAACAGTTAAGGTATGGGGTTTTATAATTTATATGTCTTTAAATATTATATCTATATAATAGTATTCGAAGATTATTTTCCTTATAAAAAAAGAAGGTCAAACCTTAATTGAAAGATTATTAATTTTTATTTTTTTTAAAAATATAATAGTAGTTCACTCCAAGTTATAGTTTCGTGACATATTACAGTAATTTGCATAAGCTTTTGGCTGGGTCTCAAAAATTTTTTTTTTTTAATATATCTTTTATATATTTTTTTTTTATATTATAAAATTGGTTCATAAATATAAAAAAGATAAACGTTTTTAAGATTTATTAAATAAAAATATTGTATTTATTTTTTTTTAATTTTTTTTTAATTTTTTTTTTTTTTTATGATAGGTTAAATATTTTTGAAAAGATAATTCATTTTTTAGTGTTTTAAAAAAATATTTTTTATTTTTGGTATTTTGATTAAAAACTTTAAATATTTTGTGAGAACATCTCTATTTTCCATTATTTGCTCAATTCTTTTTGGAATTGATTGATATAAATTATCAATACATTCTCGTTCAATTCCACACCAAATTTCATCAACTAATTCTTTAAAATCTTCTCCAGAATTTCTTTAATTTTTGTAAATTATACATATTTTTATAAATAATCTTAATATTCAATAAAGTTGAGGTCTGAAGAGTATTTTGGGATCCATATTACAAGACATTCCATTGTTTTTGTGAAATTATTGGAAATTTCCCTAACTATTTTTGGACAGTTATCTTGTAAAACATTAATAGATTAAACATCAAAGAAATATTTGCCAAGCTTAAGACCATACTTATCGTTTAGGTACCATAAATTATGTTCATCTATTTATATTACAATAAACAATTGGTATTGAACCTGCACCTCTCATATAAGAAAATTTACATACATTTACAGAAACTCCAGTTGGTATAATTCTTGATAGGATATTATTTGGATGGTATCTTTAACCTTAAATGCATTTTTAATTTCCAATTAATAAAAATATGGTTTAATTCAAGCCTCATCTGCAAAAAATACCCTTTTTCAAAATTCCACTGGGAAGTCACTAAATTGTATGGCCCATTGATATCTTTACCTCTTTGTTTTTTTTGTGAGATAATGCTGGCATTTCAAACTTTCAAATGTAATAACTTGGCATTGGAGTAAACTTCTTATTGGTTTAATTAAAACTAGTTCATTATAATTCTTCCAAAGATATAGTTTAATTTATAGAATATTATGACATATCCCATGTGACAATAAATTTTTATAACCATTTCAATTTAATCTTTCAATATTTTTTTATTACCTTGATATTTTTTAGGTTCAATTGGATTATTTAATGCATTATTTCTCAATATAGTTTTAATTTTTGATCACCTGCATCCAATTATTTCTTCTTTTTTTGAATTGTAAAATTAATCTTCATAAAATTTTAAAGTATTTCTATTTTTTCAAATTGATTATGTCATTTTGTTTAATTTATTATAGTTTTATTAAAATGTAATATT